ATTGATGTGTGTATTGTCAGTGAAACTCATCTTTCCACTAATATGCCGGACGCCGTGGTGAATATCCCAAATTACAATGTGTTCAGGCGGGACAGAGGTTGGGCAGACTTGGACAAAAGGAAAAAAGGGGGTGTTGCGATCTATGTGAGAGACAGTCTTAAAGTCTTGGATGTCTATCGGTCCAATTTATATGAATTTATTGCTTTAACAGTGCAGTTGCCGTCCGATCACATTATGCTAATTTGCGGCCTGTATAATCCTCCCAAGCATAGCTACCGGGATCTCGACTTGATTAATTATATAATATCCTTTGTGGACATTGTGTTGAACAAACACCCAGAAGCGGCTATTGTCTGTGGTGGCGATGTAAATCGTTTGGATATGCAAGAATTTAAGGCTTTGTCTGGCTGGGATTTCGTGGTTGATTTTCCCACGCGGGTAACGCGTGCTTGGATAACTGTATGACCAACCGAGCGGATCTGTTCGGTCAAGCATATTCCATACATATGCTTATTAAGACAGACCATGAGGGCTTTGTTTTACCGGCGGGATTAAAGCTTAAACCTATGCGCCGCAAAGTTCTCGTCTTGGGACTGTAGGGAACATCGGAAACAGTCATTTTATATGGCACTCACTGCGCTGGACTGGAGTGACGTCCTCAATGAGGTGGACATAAACAAGGCGGTCGAGGTGCTTGAGGTAAAGATTCGTGCAGTGATGAATAAGTTTATGCCGCAAAAATCTGTACGCATGTCATCGCGTGACCCAGTTTGGATGTCCCCATTAGTCAAGTGTATGCTGAGGACTAAGTCCCATATATCTTTAAAGAATAAGGAACGCCTGTCTTTATTTAATAAGCGCATTTCTGAGCTGATAACCGAGAACAGAAGAAAACTGGCTGCCATTGGTAGCGGTGAGTGGTGGAAGGGCGTGGACGCCCTATCGCAGCGTCGCAGGTCATCGTTGATAAATTTGGACAAGAACTCTCTAGTTCGTCTGAACTACTACTTCGCCAACCTGTGCTATGATGACACTTACGTTAGACCTAGTGATATGGATATCCCGGACAGTGTAAAGCCCCCGAAAATATCTGAGCGGTGTGTCTGGAATACCTTAGTTCATGTAAAGAAAACCGCAAAGGGACCAGACGACCTCCCGCACTGGATCTGGAAAGACTGTGCTGAGCTACTCACACCAATCGTCACTCACGTTTGGAATCTGTCGCTGTCTACTCATACATGGCCAGACTCCTGGAAAAGGGCAAATGTTAACCCTCTCCCCAAAGTGAACATGCCTATAGAGGACTCGGACTACCGTGGTATTAATGTTACTCCCGCTATTGCCCGGTTGTTTGAGAAGGTCGTGTATCGTACACAAGCACAGTCAGTCATTGAGAGCAACCTGAGTCACACCCAATTTGCATATAGACAGGCGGGTAGTTGCACAAATGCCTTGCTCGCTATCCAGCACCAGACATACAAGTATTTAGATAGTAGTGACTATAGCGCAGTGCGAATTTTTACCATGGACTTCAGTAAGGCTTTCGATTTTGTGAACCATGCTATTTTGTCTGCCAAACTGAAACAGCTACCTCTAAATCCGTACATTATCAATTGGTATCATAGTTTCCTCTATGCAAGACAACAGCGTGTTGTTAGTTATAATTTTTTAGGACAGTGGAAACTTGTCAATAGAGGAACCACACAAGGTAGTGTAAGCGGACCGTATCTTTTTAATATATTTTTGAACGATTTGGATTTTTTTTTTAATGGTTGCCCTGTGCTTTTTAAATATGCCGATGATTCCACTATTCTTTCGCCTATCACTAGGAATAGTGACCCGTCTGCCGACTTAGTAGGACAGTTCTTAACATGGTGTAAAGACAATAGAATGGTCTGCAACCCTTGCAAATGTAAAGAGCTGGTTGTTAGAAAGAAAAATCATAATGTACTCTACTCTCCAATTAATAATATTCCCCAATGTAATAGCTTCGTTTTATTAGGAGTAACTTTACAGAGTGATGGAAAATTTGATGAGCATGTAAGAACTAAGCTTGTCAAAGCAAACAAGTGTTTACACGTCCTACGAACATTGAGAAAGGAACATTACTCTCAGGCAGAGATTGATCATCTTTTTATATCGATTGTTTTGGCTAATTTTAGCTATGCACTTTCAGTCTATGGGGCATCTGAGTCCGATCTTACGGTTGTACAAAAATTTTTAGACCGATGTCATGAACGCGGTTTTATCTCATTTCCAGTTTTTATCAAGAACCTTTTAAACAAACAAGACAGAAACATTTTGAAGAAACTAAAATCAACGGATTGCCACCCCTGAAAGATATCATTCCTGTCCAAAAGACATATCTACACAATCTCAGGAAAAAAGGCTGCGCGCGCCCGAAAATTAATACACAGCGCTTTATGAACACATTTGTAAATAGGTTGATATTTAAGCTCCATTTATTGTGATGATATACTTTTTAATTCATAATATGTATGTAGATTTCTGTAGTTTTTTCAATTCATTGTAACATAAGATATGTAGTTTTATCTTATGATGGAATAAAGACAATATAAAGACAATATAAAAGTAAACGATATTTAGTAAAAAAACACTGGTGAACATTGGTGAACATCTAACAGAAGCTTAAACATTGGTGAACATTGGTAAACATCACCAATGACTATAACAGCTTAAGACGCGAACGAGTTATTGTGTGACAACAACACCGTAAAGACTCATCATGTCAATCGCTCAGATTTTTTAACGAAAACTTGGCTTTCTAGACAAGATCTTTAGTAAAGAGCATTTCTTTTTATTTGCAACAAAGTTTATAAGGATCTCAAGGCGAAAAAGGGAAGTAAACATCACTGATGACTCAAACAGCTTCAAATGCGAACGAGTTATTGTGTGACAACAACACTGTAAAGACTCATCATGACAATCGCTCAGATTTTTTAAGAAAACTTGGCTTTCTAGATAAGATCTTTAGTAAAAAGCAATTCTTTTTATTTGCAACAAAGTTTATGAGGATCTCAAGGCGAATAAAGTAAAGTAAATATCACAATGACTAACAGCTTCAAACGCAAACGAGTTATTGTGTGACAACAACACTGTAAAGACTCATCATGACAATCGGTCAGATTTTTTAAGAAAACTTGGCTTTCTAGATAAGATCTTTAGTAAAAAGGAATTCTTTTTATTTGCAACAAAGTTTATGAGGATCTCAAGGCGAATAAAGTAAAGTAAACATCACAATGACTCTAACAGCTTCAAACGCAAACGAGTTATTGTGTGACAACAACACTGTAAAGACTCATCATGACAATCGGTCAGATTTTTTAAGAAAACTTGGCTTTCTAGATAAGATCTTTAGTAAAAAGCAATTCTTTTTATTTGCAACAAAGTTTATGAGGATCTCAAGGCGAATAAAGTAAAGTAAACATCACAATGACTCTAACAGCTTCAAACGCGAACGAGTTATTGTGTGACAACAACACTGTAAAGACTCATCATGACAACCGGTCAGATTTTTTAAGAAAACTTGGCTTTCTAGATAAGATCTTTAGTAAAAAGCAATTCTTTTTATTTGCAACAAAGTTTATAAGGATCTCAAGGCGAATAAAGTAAAGTAAACATCGCCAATGACTACATCTGCTTCAGACGCGAACCACTTATTGTGTGACAACAACACCGTAAAGACTCATGTTAATCGCTCAGATTTTTTAACAAAAACTTGGCTTTCTAGACAAGATCTTTAGTAAAAAGCAATTCTTTTTATTTGCAACAAAGTTTATAAGGATCTCAAGGCGAAAAAGGGAAGTAAACATCACTGATGACTCAAACAGCTTCAAATGCGAACGAGTTATTGTGTGACAACAATACTGTAAAGACTCATCATGACAATCGCTCAGATTTTTTAACAAAAACTTGGCTTTCTAGACAAGATCTTTAGTAAAAAGCAATTCTTTTTATTTGCAACAAAGTTTATAAGGATCTCAAGGCGAATAAAGCGACGTTAACATCGCCAATGAACAAAATTGGCTGTAGACGCCAATGAGTTGTGTGAGTCATTGGTGATGTTTACTTCGCTTTATTCGCCTTGAGATCCTTATAAACTTTGTTGCAAACAAAAAGAAATGCTTTTTACTAAAGATCTTGTCTAGAAAGTCAAGTTTTTGTTACAAAATCTGAGCGATTGACATGATGAGTCTTTACGGTGTTGTTGTCGCACAATAACTCGTTTGCGTCTTAAGCTGTTATATTCATTGGTGATGTTCACCAATGTTCACCAATGTTTAAGCTTCTGTTAGATGTTCACCAGTGTTTTTTTTACTAAATATCGTTTACTTTTCTGTATGTTTAACTTCTAATAAGTTGTATTGGATTGACGACCAACTCGCCGACGTCTCTACTCGATTTGATACGTGGGCGAGTTGGTGTCGGTGAGTTGGTCCGTCGGCGAGTTGACTGTAATTCGGGATCTTGGGGTCAAATTCTTTGGACTTGCAATACTGAAGCATGTCAATTGCAACATCTTTCTCATCAGCTGTCAGTCTCTCTTGTGAATTCTGTCACGCGTGTGGGCTCTTTGATGAGTTGACTCAGACTATGGAGATGAGTCGTTTGCATTAATTTTCTGGTATATTTGCATGATTTCAGGGCAATAACATCCGCGTTGAAATCTCCCATAATGATCAAATCCTGTACCATTTCGTTGTACAATTTAGCGAGAAACTCCTGTTCCAGGCCTAAGATAAATTTCTCTTGATTCATACTGGGTGGTTTATACATCACAGCAAATATCATGTTCTTAGCCTTTTCTGGACATATTTCTACGCATACCATTTCTAAACAGTCAGATTCTAAGTCACTTCTCCACTTGCTTGGCCATTTGCTCCTTACAAAAGCGGTGCAACCACCTCCATTTTGATTTCTATCTTTTCTGTAGCAAGTATAACCCAAAGCTCCCTTGTGGAGCAATATGTTTTGTTTCCACTTTTTACACTGGAGGGATTAGTGACAAGGAAATCACAAGATGTAGTGGTATTTTAGACCTCTTAGAAGCAGGAGACTCAGTCATGGCAGACAAGGGGTTTGATATAGGTAACATGCTACAGGTGTATAATGTTGAGTTAAACATCCCTCCCTTTCTGGAAAATCAAGGGCAGTATTCAACTCAAGATGAACAAAAAACTAAAACTATTGCAAGCCTTAGAATACATGTAGAACATGCCATCAGGACGGTTAAGGAGTATCACTTCTTTGATTCCGATGTTCCTCTGTCAACTTTAGGTTCAGTTAACCAGCTATATTCTATAGCCTGTCTTCTAACAAATTTTCAAGGACCTTTAATCTTATCTAAGTGACAACAGTGAAATGTAGTGCGTTCATTTGGATTAGAAGATCACTCAGAAAGATTAAGTTAAACTTTTAGAACAAGTTTAAATAGTCATAAAGAGTGTTTGTTAATTTGAATTGTTAATAAAAAGTTACAACTGGACATACTATTTCTGAATCAATTGTTCTTTAAATACCGTGTTAGACATTTTTGGTGTTTTTCTTTTAAGGTTGGTTAATTAGGGGATTACCATATATAATTAGTTCCTGAATTTTACTGTGATGAAGCAAGTAAATAATTAAACCTTGGCTAAAAAGAGCTAAAAAATACCAACAAGAAAGTTATGTCACATTTATGTTTCTGCAAAAAAAAATGCTCTATGCATATCTTGGGTCAACTTCACCTCATCCTTCACCCTGACAATATCTGGTAAGCCCCTTTTTTAGAAAAGTTTCAAAATCTAAAATAACTATACACAAATTAGAGCAAATGTAGAATGTTTTTAAAGAACATTTATTGAAGTTAAACCTTTTCATAACTAATACAGTGTTACAAGTAAGCAAAGACTAGAGGCAAATCAGCTTAGTAATTGAAAAAAAAAAGTCCACCTTATCTTTAGCTCCCTGAAAAAAAATTGGATCAAAAAAAGGTTCTTGTGCAGACAAACATGTCATCGTACATGTAACTAAAAAAATCACACCAGTCTAGACCAGTGAGGCCCAACTGGCACTGGACCTGGTAATAATTAATGTCGTTCTTCTTTAGAGAATACTGGTTAATATTATCCTTAGTAAGATACCTCACATCATCAAATGAGGTTGCCCCCTCCTTCACAACTTTAACCTCCAGTAACCCAAAGGGGTTCTGGTCATTACCAAGGGCATCCAAATCATAAACTTTCCAGTCAGGGCTGCAGCCTAACCATGGGCATTTTGGTTTTATAATTAATCCTGATGGAAATACATTTACTCTGCCATTTTTTGCTACATTAGCATAGATTGTTGCTGCATGGAGTTCAAGTTCCACACCCCTCTTCATCGCTGGAGTTTGATCAAATCTTGTCGGGTTCATCTGATTAACAAGGTTTTCACAATTCGAAACTCGCTGGGCAACTGTACTAAACTTGCTTGCTGTCATCCGCTTCTTTCACAGAAGATGCCATGACTCGCTTGAACTTTGAGTAATTGCTTGTTCTTGTACCCTAATTTTTTTGAAATCTCTTTTGCACTCTCGAGTGGTAATTCTGGAAATGCAGTGCAGGTAAAATCATTAATCACATAGTCTGAAGACATTTTTTGTTGATAAGAAATCAAACATCCTTTGGGGACATACCCAAACTTGCTTGGGACAAATGAAACAGATCTCAGGTCCTACTCAGAAGGAACAAGGGTTGCAAACAGAGGCTTTGGCTGTAGGCTGTTGAAGTGCTCTTTAGTCATTGTTCCATACATTGGTGATGGGGAGTACAAGTTGCATTTGATGTATTTGTTAAAGGATGCGCTTAGCTGAGGTTTCTTTACAAGCACATTTTGAATTTGCTTTGGTTCAATTTTTCCCCCTGGGCACACTCCAGCACTGCATCATGCTGGTGCATGTCAGATCATCTGGCAGAGTTTGATGCCCCAGTTGTTTGAGTAAAGCCAGATAATAGAGAAGCTCTATAACATGAAGGCAATACCCTCCTGATCCAGCCACACAAGAGCACCTTCCAGACAAAGAACTGTCAGCCATGCTCGAAGAAACTTCCAAGGAATGAGGTGGCTCGTTCTTCTTCATGGAACAAAAACATTTCGATGCAATTTTCACCGCATTGTTGGCCCGTATCACTATAACATAAAACATAAATGTAATATTCTGATAGAGAAAAATAACTAGGAAATACTAGATTTAATTACCTTTAATCTCGTCCAGATATCCAGGTTCCGCCATAAACTTATATGCTTTCACTGTGCTGGTGCATCCGGTCTTTTTTTTTTGCATATTGGCCGACATCATGGAAGGTCAGCAAGGGAAATATTGAAAGATCTTGGCTCTCTTCAGCTAAAAAAAATATGAACACGAGTAACATTAGTCTAATGATTTGGGAAAATGTTCAAATTGACATGACCACAAAATTAGGTGAGTAATATCTCTACAGTTATAGCAATGAATTAAACAACGCTTGTTGGTTCAAACACCATAGTTTTGAGGGGAATAAGCAGCCAAAATTCTATGTGTTTCGATAGTAAACAGCTGCTAAACCTAAGTGTAGTGAATTACCGTAGATTCTTTCTTTTTACTTGTATTAATCGTCCAAACGTTGTTATAAAAGTGCAACAAGAAGACAAGTTCTGTTTTACATACCTGACGGAGAAGCCATGTTTGTAACTCGTGGTCAACTTGACGCTGATATTTTTGCTACGATCCCAGCTGAAAACCAACCTTTCCGATTCAAAGATGTGCTCAAAGCTATATTTCTATGCTAAACTTACTGGATTTGGAGAGATGGAAAGATATTTAACGCTTGAGTTCAGAATAATCGCCTTTCAACTACACACACTTGTGATGCTCAAGAGACTCGTACGATTTGTGTTTGCTCGAGAGCTTGCTCTTCAATTCAGCGTTGCTAACGCGTATCTAGGCGCGTATCTATTGAGCAAGCAGGTACTGATCATGTGAGGAGTATCCTGGGTGTTAGCAGCTTGAAAGATCGGCACCTTAACAAGATTGTCACAATTAAGCAAAGATGCAAATCTCGAAAAAAAAAATTTCTAAACCTTTAAGACTGAAACCAGATGAAAAGGCAAACGAGCTGATGAAAAACGCCGCAATTATAACAATTCATTTCTTGAATAGGTAATAAGTTGTGAAGACCGAGATGAATGATGATGATATAATCCAACCAACTTTGAGATGATTTCTTGGTTAGATTCAGGTCCTGGATTTGAAGAGATATGAACATGCATTGTGAGATCCAGGACAAAAGGGTTTGAAGGAAGAACTAAACAGGTAGTCCCATGCTTGGCCTGTTTTGACAATGGTTGGAACACTACAAGACTACTGAGCTCTTGTCATTTTATCACCACATGAGATCCAATCAGGCTAAATTCACGTCTAGAATTGCCAGGAAGAAAACCATCAGAGAAACATCTGAGGATATCTTCGAAACAGAAGTGTTTAAAACCAGACTGAGTCCATCCATAGGGCAAGAAATCATCAGAATAGGCTAGACTTATAAAACAAATCAAGAGAACACGAATGACACTGGCAGCCATCTTGGTGTACATATATTATTTATTTTAAAGGTTAAATGATCAAAACATAATTTCTCATATATGACATTCCCAGGTTACAGAGACCAAAAATAAGTTACTTTCTGATACAAGCACACATAGTGGTTCTTTAGCTGGTTCCAACAGAGGTGGAAAAAAGTTTGTTAATAGTCCACAGACAACTGCTATCTGAGTGGGATATGGACTAAGAGTGTTGGGCAACGTACCATCTAAAATGTGGTAAGTCTTAATTCTGCCAATAGCACGCTCCACTTGTGCCGCAGTCATTTGTTCTTGTCCAGCTAAGAATGGTGGCATGTTGACTGTCATGCCATCAGGGACAATTTTAGAAATATCGAGGCCATGGTCCACCATGACATTGTCGAACAAATCCAAAGCCCTGCTTTCCTTTGTAATTTGTTTATCAGAGACTTGTCCAGGTCTGAGGGGAAACTCACTTGGCCATTTGGGGTTACTCTTACCAACAGCTTCCAGGTGTTGTGGTGCTCATATTCAGACCATGTCTCAGACTGTGCAAGCATTGCTGAAGCATGCTGACCAAAAACTTTGGTACAGTCTGAAATAATTCTAGCTATTGCATATCAAGCAAACTCTTGCGGCATATTCCTGTGAACCAGTTCTTGTGCTGTAAATGGGAAAAGGTCTTGTAGTTCCACATATAGAAGATTGATCCATGTTATGCATATCCTTGACACCAGGCTCTGGTGATCCCAAATCTATAAGGGAGATCTTGTACAAATAAACCAGCCTGAAGTCTTATAAGTACAAGTAACAATTCATCCATGCATGAAAGCTTTCTTGAAGGCCCAGGTTTTTTTCTGTTATGTTTCACTTAGTACGGCTGACTCTCTCTTAACAATGTAAACCACCTTTCCAGCACTGTATATCGGTCAACTTTGGTTCAATAAAATTGTAGAAGCCTATGAGTGCTCCATGGTTTGGGAATCCAGTAGAAAATAGACCTGCTGACTCATTATCTTTAATTTTGTCCATTGAAAACTGGCATGCCAATAAAATATCCTTCTCTTTCTCAACTTCAATTAGTTTTTCTCTAAAGTCAGCTGTTGTAGCTTGAGGACATCTGATTCCTCCCAGGCTGGTGAAGATGAAGCAGTGTTGACAGTTGACACAGGTGGTTGAACTTCTTGGACAAATAATTCCTCTTCATCTTCAAATGACTCTTCTCGAGTTGTAACAGTTGCTACTGGTACCTCTTGAGCAGGCAGTTTCTGTGTTTTTTTTTGGTACTGAGCAGCTACATTGAGATAGTTCTACCGTATATTATAATGCAAATACTCATTATATTTTTTAAAAAAATTATTTTATATTACTATATATTTAAGATTCAGTTCACAGATATTGTGTAAGACCACAGTGCACATAGAAATATAAATAATAACTTCTTAATAAAAGCTAAGTTTTTAGCTGTCTCATGATGTAGTCATGTGTGATGTAGATCACGACGTTTCAACTGCGTACTGCCAGTCTTCTTCAGGTGATGAGGTTGACTGGTCATGTGTGAGCTTATAAGGCATGATGCTCTACTGTGATTAGTTTTTTTTTCAACAGCTCTGATTGGTGCATTTCGATCCTTGCTGTTCACTCAGTGATTTGCTCCCTTGGTGGTCCACTGTTGTATGGCTCTCCTTTTGTTGTGTTTTCTGATCGTGGGCATCCACGCTTCTGGAATGTCTATTCCACTATCCCTGTTGATGTTGTTAGGGTGAAGTCTTATATGAATTGCCTCTTTGACCCTGCGCGTGTAGTAACAAGGGTCACGATCAATAAACTTTGCTTCGTTCCAGAGTGGCTTGAGTCTGGTGTTGTGGGCATGCTCTAAAACAGTGGAGGTCTCAGTTCGGGCAAGTTGAATGTCTCCATTGTGCTTCTTAGCTTTTATTGTCATTCACCACGATGAATAATCACAACCTTTTCTACGAAAGAACTTTTTACTAAGGAGGAAAAAGTCACAGTATAAACACTACAAGACCAAAACTCAAAAACCAAAGCATGCACTCTGACAAAAGGCTTTCTTACAGTCTCCAAGCAACAGCAAAACAACCATGCAAACATTACAAACCTTTTTCCCAATTTCCAGCAACCTGCTAACATTTTTTTGGAAGTTTTTGTTATTGGTACAAGGATATGAATTATTTAGAACCCGACTTTCTAAATTCTATTGTCAACTCCAATAGTGTACACGTACAGTGTAAGAAAGGGCATTTTATCACCAGCTTCTGGAAATGTGTCTTCAATTTTGTCTTCAGGAAGTTCTTGTTTTGTAATTTATCTTTTGCTTGTATGTGTGTCTTTTGGTTCTGTCTTGCTTTCTGTACGATTTCAGTTTCTCAAATTGTTGGTTCCACAGTTCTTGTCCAAAAAGATGTTTAATGAACATGACATATCTATCTCATAAGTTTCTCAGCAAACGAGTGCCTAAATCAAGGAACATCTGCAGTGACTGTAACAAAGAAGTACTATTGATCACATTAAGTCAGTCAAATTTTGACAGATGTAAATGATTGGTCTGTAAACAGTACACCACTTAGGCTTTTTTACTACGTATTCTTTGGAAAAATATGCTTTAAATTATATAGCTTACTTTAGAAAAGGCACTTTCTCACGATTTTCTTTCCTCAAATGTAAATTTCAACAAACTGAGCCACAACTCCATCACATACTTTAAAAAACGAAAAGAAGACTCTCAAGTAGGTTGCCATTTGTGTGTATTTCAAGTGTATGATCATGGACAATAAAAGAAAGGATCTTGCAATGTCATGGCAAAGTTCACTCCTAAACAGCTAGTAGGGAAGAACTGTCCGCATCTTTTGCAGCCAAGCCAGTCTTCATTGTCATACATCTGACACACCTTGTAAACAAGAACGTCCCTTCCACTGCCAATAAGTGAAGTAAAAGTTCAAAATAATGGGTTGATTCTCAACTTGTTATTTGTGATTAAACACAATACACAGTGGTGACTGTAATGAAAAGAAAGGCATATTTATTGTACCTCAAAATGTCATCATAACAGCTGCCAACAGGTTGGATAGAAGCTTCATTCTCTCAATAGAAACATTGACCTTTGTGATCGGTCTGTTATCACACAAGTTCCTGGCAAACTAACGATAGATCTTGCAGTTATACATATGTAAGATTGGTTGATGTAAAATGTAAATATTCTAATTATGTTTCTTTAAAAACTGTTATTGAATGACATCGTTTTATTTTAACTGTTTAATTTAAAGATATTGATGGTATTGGTTTCTGATGAGCTCACTTATCTAATGCTTTATAATAGTCCAAAGATTACCTTTCAAACAAGTACTCCACGGTTGAATCCATGAGTTTGCTGAAAATGGGGTGGCTCAAGGCATGCCCACTCTTTACTTTTCCCGCCTGTTTTGATGTCAGCAGCCACACAACAAAAAGATTGGAACCATTGTCATTAGTGCTACTGGCTATAGCTACAAAAATGAGTTCTAAACATTGTCTTACTGTTCATTCCTGGCAGTTGATGGAACCAGTTAAGTTAGGTTCAGTTAAGTTTATGTTACATGAAGTCACTAAATCACTCATATATAAAGCTGAAAAATCATAAAAACAATGTGGCCAGTACAATGGCCATTCATAACTCTCACAACAATGAAACACAAGGTTGTGCTGGGAATACAGAAACTCACCTTGTGGTATTTATAAGTCTCTACAGGCTGGGATTGGAAGCTGCTATTATTTCATTTGGTTCTTTGTTTCCATAAATAGGATCAATGTAGACACGGGCAGATTCCTTTTTATGTAAAATCTTTGAACACTTTTGCTTCATGTCGTCAAACAAACTCGTGAGGCATGTGTAAAATGTTTAATTTATCTAAAGAATATAATTCAAATTTTTAGAGATGACCACTTTATTATAAAAAAAAATGTACAGTATGAATAATATCCTAGACTTACCAGCAATGTCCAGTGATATTCATTGGAATAAGAATTTTTGCAATTCCATGGAACTTCTCGCTCATCCACAATCTATGTGTACTTGCCCCATGTTTCACCACCTGACAAAGGGTACTGTCTGCAGCAAAGATTTTTTGGTCAAGTACTGTTATTTTCCATAGTGTAGCATCACTGATCTACAAAGAGAAGCACAATGAATATAACAATTGAAGATATACAAAATTAATCTTTCAAATAGTTACTGGAAAACAGCACTGCTCACCATATCAGTTAACCATCCATCCACAAACTAGGGATCTCCTCTTTAATTTTCTGTTTCTTTTGCAGACAAAGTACCGGGAGGAAAAGTGGATAGGAAGTCAGAAATATTTACTTTGAATGGCCCTACTTCCAGTACTGAATCGCATGTACCGGTGTTGACTTGTAAGATCTTAACTCTCCTCACTTCATCACACAACTGTACTTCTGACTCTCCTAGCTGAGAAGGCCTGTATAGACATCACAACTGCAGATCAAAAGAATAGTCTAAAAGGTTGATTCATCGTTCCCTACTCAATGGATAGAATATTTGAAGGGTTATGATCACTGTTTTGTATTACTAAATTCGATAGAATTATACCTTGGTGAGATATGAGTAGAACACATCATTATCAATGTTGTTATCTGCATCATTACACAGTTCAAGTGCACTATCGTCATCAAGACACATACCGCATATTGAGTTAGCCTGCAAATAAAACATTGGCACATAGAAGATAAACAATTTACATGTTGATATAAACAGTTCTTTAATCATTGTGAGAAAACAAAAAAACTATACCTACCTCTTCTAATTCCACAGCATTGTCTTTGGAATTGCTGTCATCCTTTGTCAAGTCTACAACCATGGCCCTGTCTTTCCTTCTCTTGCCATGTCATCTACATTTGGGAAGTGTTCTATGTTTCACCTTGTGGTAGTCTACCTCTGTAACTTTGAGCTTCTTTTTTGTAGGACTCTGTTGAAGAGGGACGCCATTTTCAATAAAGGAACCTGGATGGAGATCCTCTGCAGAGATTCCACAGTCGTGATAGTATTCTCAAGGATAGCTGAATCATCGACCACAAATGTAGCTGATCTCAATTCATCAACTCTTTCCTGAAGGGGCTTTCTGAGCTTTTGAGTTATGAAAGGTTGCTTGTTGTTGTTGATTTTTGGCTAGGAAGAAGGGCCACTGGATTGAGCAGGTGCATCATCTTTACCGAAAGATAAAGTGGGACTGTTGTTTCTGCACCACATACTTGACTGTAATCGCCATTTCCCTTGTTCGTTGAACTTGTCTCTGAGGTTGGTTCTTCGTCTGGATCGGCTTGATCAAATTGCCTGGTGTCTGAAGTTATGAAGATGCTATTTTTGTAGGCATGTAGTAAGCTGTTAAAGCTCCACTTGTCAAAAACAGCAAAAATGTGGTTACAGGGGAAATGCGTTTTATGCCAGCTTTCACTGGCTCCGAAAGCTTGACTGCAAACAGCTTTGTACAGTTTGAACTGCTTTGACAAGAAATTTACCCTTTTCTAAATTGACACATTTCATGTCATGTTCGGCAAACTCAGCGGCCCCAAAGTTGCTCCTGAGGCAGTGTTTGACAAAGTAAAGATAACTTCATTGTCCTCATTCTGGCAGAGAAATTCAGCTACAACCTTATAATCCACATTGGTGTGGACACACGAAAAACAAAGGTATCACATACTTATTCATTTTGTAGGTGGCATCCATCAGTAAAAGGTCACTGCCATATCTGAGGAGAAGCCTCCACTGCCATCCCTCTTGGTGTATGAACAAAAACTTTGTCTCATCACCACCCTTGACCTCATCCTTTGCCTTGAAATAGAAATTGGATGATGGGGAGTCATGCCTCTATTCCTCAATTCTGTGCTTTAGTGACTCTTGGTCATCACCACAGTGTTTGCTGGTGCTGATTGCTGGTGCAATATGACTTTGCAAGTCCTGGTGACTGGGGTAATATCTTCCATTCGACTTTTGGGATTTCTGATGACCTTCATGACTTCCAAACATTTCTTTGTCTACGTACTACTCTGAGCATTTTCATACCACATCTGGACTAGTTATATTTTCACTTACTAGCTCGCAGATCTTGCTTGTGATTTTCAGATGGATGGAGTGAGCTACTGAGGCAGCTTCGCCGACAGGATGTACTTTTTGTGTTGTACTAAGGGGAAGCCTGAAATAGAACCTTGTTGTTGTTCTTAGGTGCTTTCCTGTCTGCGTGTCATCCTTTAATTGCTTGAGAATCCCAGTTTCTGCCTTCCACAGACCATTCTTTGACAAGCACTCTTCAGATTCTAAAGTATAATCAGTGTACAGCCGTAGAGCTTGCACTTGCAGACTTGCTGGGCAGTTGAGTCTTCTTGTTCCTTGAACTTTAATGTAACTTCCGGAGTTGGTTGAGTAATTGTGTACTGCAGTATTTGGAGGTTTCTGTTTCTTTCCACCTCGAGAATCCTACATTTTCAAAAAGGAGCAAAAAATAATGATAAGGTTTTGTTTTCTGTGACATTTACTTGTAGTGCAAAATACGTAATAAGTCCGGCATAAAGAAATGCACATTCAGCACTGCTGGGATATGATTGGTCAACTGATTAAGCTTTGGGAATACTAGAGTCCCTTCACTCAACTCCGCAACTGTCAATCAAATGTCCAGACGAACAGTTTTCAAAGTGTGATAAGTTAACACTAAAGATTAAAGAGCAGACCACTCTCTTCATTTAAAGTGACATGGCAAGCAAATTTTTTTGTTGACATTTTTATTTGGTTCAATAAACCATCATAATAGAAGTATTTTAGAGAAGGACGTTAAAAGTTTTAGTTACACGGGCTTAACACTTATTCCTCATGCTTTATCTGTTACCCATTACCAAGAAAAATCTTGAAATAAATCAGGACAATGTGGAAAAGAGCCCATGGATGTGAATTGTTTTAAAAACAGACATGAAGAGCAAGTTCACTAAGCATTTTTCCGTGTATTACCAGTTGTCTACTTGGCCTCGTAAAAGAAAAAGCCTCTTTCATTTTGCGTCTTTTTTCTGTGATTTCCCAGTGTCCCAGGGGGGACATCTCTTGTTTGTTGAATATAATTATTCAATTTTCGATCTGTTAAAATAGAATAAAACATATAAAAGGATCTCTAACTCTTAAACCCATTCAGTTGCTTAAACCTACCTTCAAAACAAAAAACCCCTGGGAAATTCAAATTAATGGAGACAGTAAACAGAGAATTAGAGACAGAAAACAAGCAAAAATTTATTCAGTTACACAGTTGGACCTTGGGATATTCTATGACCCTATGGGAGTAACAGCAACTTTTTTAGAAAGAATGAAACTTCTAACAAATGTGGATCAGAAAAGTTTTGACAACAATAAACTCAAAACAAACATTTACCAGCTCTTTCTGGCTTTTGCAGAATTTCTTGCACAGTCAACTGCTCCAACAAAAAGCGAACTGCCAGGATTACCAATTGGTCCCTGTTAAATGTGGACAGATAGCATTATTTGAGTTCCTTTGCTTATATACGAAGGCAGCTCAGTCTTGAACTGAAAAATTCAACTTACAAAATTTTGCTCTAACTACTTACCATCTTGCTAGGTGGTCATCCAATAGTTTTTTCTGAGAAAGCCCTGGCGTTGCCTGGCTATAAGTAAAACACACAGAATTTTCGCATAACATTTTACGTCCTTTAACAGGTACCTGTAGAATTAGAGATTAAACGAGGCTTACCTGTAAGGTGAAGTTTGATTGGAATTCTATGAGTCATTTGTCAGGAGCGAAGGAGTCACGTGAGATAGAGCACGCCAAACTAGAGCATTCAGTTTTTAAAACAGCTTGTGAATTGCCGCTCCTAATCCTAATAAATAGGGTGGGTTGAAGAATTACAGATCAACATAGTTTATGCAGGGCAGGCATGTGACTCCTTCGCTCCTGACCAATGACTCATAGAATTCCAATCAAACTTCACCTTACAAGTAAGCCTTGTTTAATCTCTAATTCTACTTCCTCATTGGTCTAAGTTGCTCGAAGTCATGCGAGACTTTAAAGCAGTAATCTATTAACACTCTATTCATGCTCAGTTGAAATAAGATATGGGAAACAATATTGCACAGCGGTCTAAGCCAAGCTGGAACAGCTTGGCTTAGGGCCAAGTCGTACTAGAGGACAATTTCAGATTTGTCCAGGACAAATCTGACTTGAAATCGGCCAGCGACAAAAAATTTGTCCGGAAAGCTACAGTCGCACTTGAGAACAAAATCTGTGAACAAATCACACCATGCTGTGAGCGTCACGCAATTTCCCGCGAAGCAGCCTTTACCTGCTGTTTCAATCCACAAACTGCGACATGAGGGATCTCAAAATGTTTCCACAAAGAATTCTAGCAATAATATTTTTCTTCTATTTTCTGGTTCTTCATCAGCAAGCAAATATCAATATCAATTTAATGATATGTTGTCTGTTATTAATGCAGAATTTACGTGCACAAAGCATTCTAGTGACACAATGTATTTGCCGACAACGAAATCGTTATCGAAGACGAGCGCCATACTATTGGACTCTTCCTCGTCCAGTCGAATCGTGGTTCGAGATCCATTATACTGATCGAACAATACCTGGGGACTACTTTCGAAGGCTCTTACGAACGAACAGAGAAAGCTTTGATTTGTTGCTCAACGTAATTCGTAATCGGCTGACGAGACAGAATACAGTTCTGCGAAATTGCCTCACTCCTGAAAAGGTCCTTGCTTGTGGTTTGCTTCGCCTTGCACACGAAAATTCATACGAAACAATAGGACCTGCGCTAAACGTCGGCAGAACTACAGCAATAGAGGCTTGTCAAGACGTGGTTGAGGCTCTTTATGACTTAAGGAATGAGTACATCGAATTCCCAACAACAGTGGCCGAGACAATGAGGTGTATAGAGACATTTACGGACAAATCACGACTTCCAAACATTGTTGGGGCCATAGATGGCACTCATATCAAAATAGTTGCTCCTAGAGACAGTGCTGTTGATTATTTTAGTCGAAATCAGCAAACATGATTTCATTATTCAGGCCGTTGCTGATGGTAAGGGATTATTTCTTGACTTTGCAGCGGGTTATCCGGGAAGTATCCACGACGCTAGGGTATATCGAAACAGCTCGCTTTATCTAAGAGCAAGCAACGGAGATATGCTCAAGGAACCCGTTGAAAGAATCGGCATCACAGATATTCAGCCTTACCTGGTAGGA